TGTTGATGTTCTCCTCAGCTAGCTCATTTCCCTATACCCTAGGCTGCTAATGGTTGGTTGCTTCAGCATTGGCGGTTTGCGTTTCTATTTGTAGTCTAAGAGTTTTACGCGGATGAAGAAGGATTGAGGAAAGCGGAGGAAGATTTTTCACTGCCACCATGGACACGATTTGACAATGTTTGTGCCGGCTGGTTAGCCACTAATACATCTTTTGAAAGAAAAACTGAATGAGAGAAAAAAATAGAGAAAGCAAAGCCAAAGGCAAGAAGAAAAGCAACAAAAAATGGAGGGGGAGGGTCCAAAGAGGAAGAAGAAGCAAACCGGTGCACAATTAGATCCATAAACAAAAAGTAAAAGAAAAAAGAAAATGTGGGCTACAGCCGGTCCCAAAAAGATGTTGACGACGGACCTATCAAAATTTAGATTTGAAACTTTGAGAGAGAAGGGGAGAAAGGTAAAGGAAGAGATAGAAAACATTTTTTTCCAATGTGCAGAAAATAATATTTTTTTTATGAATTGTTACAGTCCTCTACTGTATTCTGAATTAATTTTAAATTATTTTTCAAAAACCAAGAGTTATCTTAATTTCTTTGGTACCAATTAGAGCTTATTGGATCTCTCTTTTTTTGTTTCCTAATTTTTTCCCAACCCGATATTCATAACTCAAATCTAAGTTTCTACATTTATTAAAATGGTTTTCTTATTTGTCTATAAATGGAAGAATGGTTTATGGCCTGAAAATTCACCCTGCTCCGCTGCACTTCTCTTCTCCTACTATGCTTTACATCTCTTCATAGTAGTATTCTCCCTCTAAAACAGACTGAAAAAATAATGAATAAATCAAGTTACTGCTCTCCCGCGTTTTGTAGCTCCTCGCACGATCATGTTGTCCCCTCATTCTTCCTATCACAGGCTCCCTGCTCCTCCATCTTTCTCTTTGTTTTGTTGGCTATTTATTCGGGTCCTCGACACCTCAATTCTAATGTTTATTACCATTAGTTTCTTTATCATCCATCTCGTTACTTTTATTTGAACAAGTCCTTCTAGAAAAGATTTTATGGTTTGTGGGTATTTTTTATCGCTACTGTCTTTGTCTTTATCATCATCTTTTTATGTTGTGCTTATTGATTTAGGAAGAAAAACAAATGTCAGCGCAAATATGATACATTTGGCAAACTTCTTGGTCTTTTGGGGGGGTAGTGGCTTGTAGTGCCTCTTACATTTGGTTGGGAGAGTCAGATATTAGCTATTTGGTCTTCATTCTGACACTTATTGGCATGTTCACAACCTGCATTTTGTCCATTTCTTCAACCCGCAACTTCAACTTGGTGAATAAATAATTTATCTCTCTTCTCACGTACATCATTCGAGTCCTTTACCACGACAGAATTTCAGGTGTTGGTATTGGTTCATCACCATCAGCTGTTGTCTCTGACCCTACACCTTTGCTTGCTGTAGCACCATCATGTGTTGATGTTCTCCTCAGCTAGCCCATTTCCCTATATCCTAGGCTCCTAATGGTTGGTTACTTCAGCATTGGCGGTTTGCGTTTCTATTTGTAGTCTAGGAGTTTTACGCGGATGAAGAAGGATTGAGGAAAGCGGAGGAAGATTTTTCACTGCCACCATGAACACGATTTGACAATGCTTATCCGGCTGGTTAGCCACTAATACATCTTTTGAAAGAAAAACTGAATGAGAGAAAAAAAACAGAGAAAGCAAAGCCAAAGGCAAGAAGAAAAGCAACAAAAAATGGAGGGGGAGGGTCCAAAGAGGAAGAAGAAGCAAACCGGTGCACAATGAGATCCATAAACAAAAAGTAAAAGAAAAAGGAAAATGAGGGCTACAGCCGGTCCCAAAAAGATGTTGACGACGGACCTATCAAAATTTAGATTTGAAACTTTGAGAGACAAGGGGAGAAAGGTAAAGGAAGAGATAGAAAACATTTTTTTCCAATGTGCAGAAAATAATATTTTTTTATGAATTGTTACAGTCCTCTACTGTATTCTGAATTAATTTTAAATAATTTTTCAAAAACCAAGAGTTATCTTAATTTCTTTGGTACCAATTAGAGATTATTGGATCTCTCTTTTTTTGTTTCCTAATTTTTTCCCAACCCGATATTCATAACTCAAATCTAAGTTTCTACATTTATTAAAATGGTTTTCTTATTTGTTTATAAATGGAAGAATGGTTTATGGCCTGAAAATTCACCCTGCTCCGCTACACTTCTCTTCTCCTACTATGCTTTACATCTCTTCATAGTAGTATTCTATCTCTAAAACATACTGAAAAAATAATGAATAATCAAGTTACTGCTCACCCGCGTTTTGTAGCTCCTCGCACAATCATGTTGTCCCCCCATTCTTTCTATCATAGGCTCCCTGTTCCTTCATCTTTCTCTTTGTTTTTTTGGCTATTCATTCGGGTCCTCGACACCTCAATTCTAATGTTTATTATCATTAGTTTCTTTATCATCCATCTCATTACTTTTAGGGTTAATACCTTATTTTGGCCCGAACTATGACCATATAATCAACTTTGGCCCGTGGTTTCAGAAATTAACATCATGGCCTCAACTATGCAGCATATAGACTCAATTGGCCCGACACATAGTTTGACCGTCAATTTGGACGGTCAACTCCGTTGACCGTTAGTCAACACGCCATGTCATTGCCTAATCAGCCTAAAAATCATTAAAAAAATTATTTATTATCCAATTAACCAAAAATTAATTATAAAAAACATAAAATAAAATATATTTTTTGGATAATTTGAAAATGATGAATTTTATAAATTAACAAAAAATTATCAAATTATTTTATATTTTCAAAACATCCCACAAAAATATATTTTATATCATAATTTTTAAATTTATAAAATTTAATTTGATAATTTTGGTTAATTTATAAAATTATCATTTTCAAATATCCCAAAAAAAATTATTTTATATTTTCAAAATTTTATTTTTTGGTACATTGGAAAATGATAAATAATAGAAATTAGGAAAATAATTTGAATTTGAATTTTTTTAATGATTTTTATGCTGACTAGGCAATGACATGGCATGTTGACTAACGGTCAACCGAGTTGACCGTCCAAATTGACGGTCAAACTATGTGGCGGGCCAATTGAGTCTATATGCTGCATAGTTGAGGCCAGGATGTTAATTTCTGAAACCACGGGCCAAAGTTGATTATATGGTCATAGTTCGGGCCAAAATAAGGTATTAACCCTTACTTTTATTAGAACAAGTTCTTCTAGAAAAGATTTTATGGTTTGTGGGTGTTTTTTATCGCTACTGTCTTTGTTTTTATTATCATCTTTTTATGTTGTGCTTATTGATTTAGGAAGAAAAACAGATGTCAGCACAAATATGATACATTTGGCAAACTTCTTGGTCTTTGGGGGAGGGGGGGTGGGGGGGGCGGAGGTAATGGCTTGTAGTGTCTCTTACATTTGATTGGGAGAGTCCGATATTAGCTATTTGTTCTTCATTCTGACACTTATTGGCATGTTCACAACCTGCATTTTTGCCATTTCTCCATCCCCCAACTTCAACTTTGTGAATAAATAGTTTATCTATCTTCTCACGTACATCATTCGAGTCTTTTACCACGACAGAATTTCAGGTGTTGGTATTGGTTCATCACCATCAGCTGTTGTCTCTGACCCTATACCTTTGCTTGCTGTAGCACCATCATGTGTTGATGTTCTCCTCAGCTAGCCCATTTCCCTATACCCTAGGCTGTTAATGGTTGGTTGCTTCAGCATTGGCGGTTTGCGTTTCTATTTGTAGTCTAGGAGTTTTACGCGGATGAAGAAGGATCGAGGAAAGCGGAGGAAGATTTTTCACTGCCACCATGGACATGATTTGACAATACTTGTGCCGGCTGGTTAGCCACTAATACATCTTTTGGATTCTCAATATACAACAAAAAACAAAAATAAAAATAAAAAATACCATCTTTTTTAAAAAAGAATTCATTCTTATCACCAATTCACACAAAACGCAGCACCCGCTGGTGGATAAAACACGTCCAACCTTTGTCCGTCTTCCATAAAAAATGGGCCAAAATTTGTACTATCAAGAGGGTTTTTATGTTGATGACTATTAAGCGATACATACCCATTCTTTTTTTTCTCGTTCTTATAATTCTTGTTCATTAATCTATATATTAATTCATTTCTTTCATTTTTATGCTATTGTAGGCTGGGGCAGACATAGATATACATGATCAAAGATATTATCTTGATCAAGGACCTCATAATACAAGTGTTCTGTAGGACCATCCTAACCATCGTTCAGGATGTTTGGAATAATTTGCCAGTACGTATAATTTTTCAACTTTTGTCATATTTTATTTTGTTAACGTACTTAGTGGTTTATACAATGATTTGGGCTAATACCATGTGACACTTAAATAGACTCTTCATAAAGAGATGCATGCCTAAAGAAGTGAGGTCTTAAGCTATCATCATGATCCTCCCATTTATTAGGAAAATCAGGTTTTAAGCGATCCTCGAATATCCCCTTTTTCTATAAAAAAAAACTTTGTGTTTCTAAGGAGATTTATAACTCTCCTAAGAGTCTAACCAGTTCACTTGTATTGGTTTAATTCATTGAAAATAACCAATACGATTTACAAAATATTATAATAGATTTATGTCTGTATCTATCTAAAAATCTATGGTATTTATATATTTAATTACATTTGTTTGGTATAATGGATTTATGTGTATATCTTTCAAATGTTATTTAGTTTAGTCAATTGAATCTGTTTGTGATAATGAATTTATGTGTATATCTTGCAAATGGTAATCATTTTGTTAATTTCAATTGTTTGTTATAATGACTTTATGTGTTTATAAATTATAAACTTATGATTTGAATTTATTTGCAAGAGTGCACATCATATTATACGCTATAGGGGTACGAGCAATGTGCTCCCATATAACAACGCTATCTTGCTCTATCTCAAAAAAGGTTGGTTAGAGTCAATGAGGCACTTTGTTGGCTTCAAGATCGACAATCAACTCATCACATCATTGGTGGAGAGATGGTGCAAGGAGACACACAACTTCAACTTTCGTGAAGGAGAGTGTACCATCACATTGAAGGACATCGCCATCCTAACGCATTTGCCCATCGATGGAGATGTGATAATTGTGAACGATTATCCACCACCTTCATATGATGAGAATCTGAACCGTTGGCAATATTTTCTCTAGAGTGCTTTGGGGTTGTTCGTGCCAAACCACTCAGAGGGTGGCGTTGTAGAGGATGGGAAGCCACCCTTGAGAAAGAATCAAGTATCAATTACTTGGTTAACAGAGGAGATTGAGAGGAAGCATAACCCTAAGGAGCATGACAACCCCCTCACCAAGGAAAGTGATGAGAGCGATAATGAAATTTATGTGTGTGTCTACATCATCGACAATGATAGGAGGAGTGTTCATCCCTAAAAAGTCAAAAAAACTTAATTAGTTGCATATGGCTGAAGATCCTCCTTGGTCCTTGGGAGGATATGATGACCTTGAGTTGGGCATCCGCTTTTGTAGCTCATCTCTACAACTCTCTTTGTAATGCTACCGAGAAAGAGGTAAAGGAGATTGGAGGGGAGATGTTTCATTGTCCAATTTTGGGCTTGAGAGTATCTTCTTTACCTAATGACCTATGTTTTCCCAAGACACAAATGGGCACCCGACCATCCACTAAGACAAGAAGCTTATGGTTCTAGGTAAACTTCTCAAACCCACACATACCAATTGCTTTTGTTTTTGCACTTCATGAATTGATAGGTAGTATAACATTTGATGATTGTCCTTATGAATAAGGTGGATTGGAGCCACAACATGCGACAACCAGCCCGCTCCTTGCAAGAGTATTGGAAGAGGTTGTAGACTTTGGAAAGCAGAGTTAACCATCATAATACATCTTCTTCCTTTTCTATTTCCATGGGTGTAATCTAGATTTTGTAGTACTTATTTAAGGTCATCTCTTTTGTAGGTTTTATTCGATCCGTGCTCTTCCAACGTGGTGGAGTGGCACGTGAGACAATTCCCGACTTGTCCCCAACAATGGTGTATGAGGGTCCCTCTCATTTGTCTCCATCTTGTGGAGTGGCACATGCCCGATCAATGCTTATGACAATATAGTCGTGAGCAATGCTTACCCTTAGACCCCCCCCGACAACTAGAAGCCTTCCACATAAGAGATGGTCGCCAAGGCACTTGTGAGTCATGATTGGCCCATGCATAGGGCCCCATACATCGAGATGTGGACAATTGACAAGATGGAGACATTATCACTCCTGCTACGATGGATCCAGTGAGGTATCATGACCCATACATGGACTAATACCGTGCATAATCGGTTAGGTACATGACTCCGGAATGTACCACAGATGGTGCATTGGTAAGTCATTTTTTGTTTTTTAATTCAATTTCCTTACTTTTATTGACATATAAATTGCGATTCGTTTCAATGCTTTTAATTGTCTAACTTGGTAAATTGGTGAGGTTTAGGTTGATGGCGTCAAACATGTACAAGCTCTAGCCCGCAGTGGGAAGACTATGGGAAGGAGAGAGGTTTCACTCTTGAGGAAGATCATGAATAGTCTCCTCGACTGTGTTAGAGCGCGTGGGCGGGATAGCCATAGATACTTGCCAATGAGCGCACTGACTATACCGAGGGTCTCTACTGATGTCCCTAACCCTCCATTGTCGTACCAAAGGAGGCCTAATATCTATACAAGGGAAAGGCCACATGTGCCCAAGGTGCGGCTGATTGAGGCGTGACGCGTGCCTTCCCCTTTGGATTTGCACAATGATCCTCGCTCGAGTACTAGCCATGACGCCACATCCTCCAGTACTTGGAACAACGCCACATCCTTGAGTACCCACCAAGACTTCATGACGTATCACAAATGGCAAGTGTCTTTTAATTGCACTTCGACCCAATGGTCTACTACTCCGACCCGTTCAAGCATGGATGTCCCCCACCCGATCATAGAAGAGCCACCTAGCAAGGATAGGTGACGCCATATCACGAATCAGTGCCCACCGTGGTACCTCGATCTCATCCACCACTTTCATCCTTTGTTACACCAATCGGCCATCGAATGAAGAAGAACTAAACGGGAACCACGTGGCGAGCGAGGAGTTGAAGCCGAGCGAGGAGATGGAGGAGAAGTTGCATGAGGATCCCTCAAGTTTGTAGTTGGTGTTTATTTTCATTTGGTGTTTAAGTTGGACTTTGTTGTGTGGTGAATTTATTTTCATTTGTTGTTTAGGTTGAACTTTATTGTGTGGGGCGTTTATTTTCATTTGATGTTTAGGTTGGACTTTATTTGTGGTGTGTTTATTTTTATTCGATGTTTAAGTTGGACTTTGATGATAAAACCAACAATGTGGTGTGTTTATTTCCATTTGATGTTAAGTTGGACTTTCTTGAGCAAACCAACATAGCGAATAACATAACTTGAGGAAACCAACATAGTCGAAGAACATAACTAGATCAAACACACAAATTCGAACAACATAACTTGAGAATCTCAACAAAGAGCAAACCAACTAAAAATAAATTATCAACCAATTTATACGCCATCATCTGAATTTGCAACATTAGACCCTAGATTTTGAGGCTCAATTGGTCTGGGACAAATTCGTTTATCATGTCCTGGTACTTTGCATATGGAACAACACCTTGGCCCTCGCGATGGTCTTCCAGATTGATCCATCTCATTGTGAATCCTTTTTACCCTGGTCGACCCGGTTCATGCCTCTGTCTGAATGGTGGGGTGATCACCTTTCCTTCATACATTGGCCAGTAAGCTTCTTCCGGCAATGCACGAAAACACTTTCCATAAGAGCTCTTGAGTGAGTTGATATTGAAGAAATGACTCACGAAGTGAAGGGGATCTTTGCTCCTAGCCTTGATTACGGACATGATATGAGAACAGTGCAATCCTCTCCCCTGATACTTCTGGCAGGAGCACTCCTTTTTTTTTTCTTCTTCTGATGTTCACCTTGACTTCATGGCGATGCCCCCCACGTCTGCTATCCTTCCAATGCCTGTCTCAACTGAATACTCATCAACATCTCGATTCTTGATGGTGACCCTATGTCGGCTGCTCTTGTGTTTTTATATGACCATTAAGTCAACTGCTCAATCAGGTGCTTGATAGCCGCGACAACCACTCTCGAAGTCAACTGCCAATGACCTTGGGATGTTACAGATGACACACATGTGTGAGTGTTCACCGCACGAGTGATGACCCAACTCCCGACTCTCTTTCTCCTGATGGCCTAAACCCTAGCCTTGCATCCCTCATGTTGATTCTGTCAACTAACTATGAGTCTCCTCATGTCAGAATGTGGTGTGTGTCATTCAAATCCCCGATTCATTGCTTCAGTGTCAACAACATGTCGAACCTCTTTCTTCATACCAAATTATTGATCCTTCTTAAACCCAGTGGTTGGACCACATATTGGCACCTCTGGCGGCTCCATGTCAGCATGAACATAACAATTTTCATTTGAAATGTCCATGTAGTATGGAATAGGCACACAGTCACAGGACACCTCTTCATCATCAGAGTCTGAATCTGGGCGTGAATCATCTTCACCTTCAAGACGGTCGATGCTGTTTGCACTGACGTTGCTTTCCTCTTCTTCATCTTCATGGTCATTGACTGGAGCTGGCAGTGCATCTTCCATCTAATTTAGATCATGAAAGACACCATCATCAGCTTTGTAATGGTAGTTGTGATAACTACTGCTACCTCCATGGAAGTTGTACTCGGGTTGGTAATCTTCGCCTTCTTGTTGGTTGTCATGGTACCATTGGATTCTTGTTCATATGATGTGAAGGGTTGATGATGATAGCCTCCACCCCCTTGTTGGTACTCATGGTACCGTTGGGCTTCTTCTTCATATGATGAGAAGGGTTGATAATTATGACCTCCACCTCTTTATTGGTACTCATGGTAGGACTGATGATCATGGTAGCTTTGGTAGGGATGATCTTCATATACTCCAACCCCACCATGGATACCAGATATATGGCCATCTCCAAGATGGCCTCCATTGCCTTCAACCTCCTCGGTGTAAACAAACATCCCTGGTTTGGAAATGTTATTGCCATTCAGAAATTCGAGCATGATATCAACTTCCTCCTGAGTGGTTATGAGCAATTCCTCATACCACAATGACTCGCCTTCTCTGTTTGGATACCGATACACCATACGATCAACTCTCCTCATGATCTCCATGCAAGTAACTGTAGTACACATTTGACGGAGCTCTTCAAGGTTCGGTATCTTAGCAACATTCACTTTATGAAAATCACCACCTACATAATGTATCCCATTTCCAGTCTCTTCCGTGTAACCATTCCACCGTAACCCAAGCGTGAATTTTTGGAAGGACATCTGCAAATACCGTAACTAAATTAACACCATAAATTTTGTGAAAGTCATAAACATGAATATTTTTTAATGAGACACATTTAAAAATTACAAATTATAATAAAAATGAATGTAAATCAAATTTACGAAGTAAGGTTAATTGCAAAAACTCGAAAAAGTAAGGAGCAGAACAGAATATAGAAGGAGAGAGAGTAGTGAAGAGTTGGGGTATCCGGGGCTGCCTTATAAAGGTAAAATTCATGTAAAACCGCCACCCCCTAGCGGTCCATCTCAAACCACTGGGGTGTGACGGTTTTCACCCAACATGCAACCCCACGCTCACCCTCCCTGCATGTCGACAATAGGAAAACCCCACTTCATCAACATTATTAATAAACAAATCTCATTAATATCTAAAATCCACTTTGATTCAAACTGATCAAATATTGAAACAACCCAGACAAGGGACTGTCGATTCCCGCACAAGACCAGCAAATCAAACCAGAGAGGGAAAGGTTGAGCTGCAGGGGTCTGGGATCTGTCGCATATATTCTCCTTTGCATCCCGTCGTCGATCTTGCACCAGACCTGTAAACTTGAAAGGTCCATATAGGGAGCGTTGATGGAGGAAGAGACGGAGACGCTACAATATTTGAACTCCCTTGTCAGCGCCCCAACGAACTCTTTATTTCTTTCCGCTACTCCGATTACCCCCATATCCAGATCCACCATCCAACTACTCTTTTGTTACTCTCTCATCTTTGTTCCAGTTAGTTTTGCTCATCGATAATTGAGGAGCATAAACATAGCAGCTAGCCCAAATTAATTTAATCAAACACAACAAAGAAAGAGTACTACTCTAGAAACATAGTAAAGTAACCCCATTGGAGTCTAGCTACCTACTTCTGAACATCGACCATGGTGGGGGTTTAAATCGTCTAGGTGATGAGGTCCTCCGCCAGTGGAGCTGAGGGCGAGGAGCATATGGGGAGCATATTCTAATTTCTGATCCATTCTCCCGCCCCTCTGCTTTGCATCTCCTCGAGTGCACCTCCCTATGGTGGAAGCGGATTCAGGTTGGCGGTGGCCGTGTTAGTGTGTGGTATATGATACCCGATTGAACCTCTCCCAACAACTCGAGTTATTGAGACCAATTGGTTCCTGACATAGTATCAGAGCCTTATGACTGAAAGGTCTTGTGTTCGAATCCCGATGATCCCATTTGTCAACCATATGTATTCTCGTATTCAAGACATGTGCAAACGAAAGCACTTATGAGTTGTCTGGCTTTGGTTTGAGGGGGCGTGTTAGTGAGTGGTATATGATACACGATTGAACCTCTCCCAACAACTCGAGTTATTGAGACCAACTGGTTCCTGACATAGTATCAGAGCCATATGACCGAAAGGTCTTGTGTTCGAATCCCGGTGACCCCATTTGTCAACCATATGTATTCTCGTATTCAAGACATGTGCAAACGAAAGCACTTATGAGTTGTCTGGCTTTGGTTTGAGGGGGCGTGTTAGTGACTAGTGAGTGGTATAAGATATACGATTGAACATCTCCCAACAACTCGAGTTATTGGGATCAACTGGTTCATGACATGGTATTATAGCCTTCTATGACCGAAAAGTCTCTTGTTCGAATCCCGCTAACCCCCATCTGTACATGTTAAACACATGGTGTCCGGACCTGTGTCTCTACAAGCTCCAAGCCTATCCGAGTGGCTTGATTTTAGGGGGGGGGGGGTGTTATATGATCCACTATCAGAGCTTTCGTGACCGAGAGGTCTTGTGTTCAATTCTCGCCGACCCCCATTTGTTAAGCACATGATATTCAGATCTGTGCAAATTTCAAGCATTTGTGAGTGGCTTTCGTTTGAGGGGGCGTGTCAGTGTGTAGTACATGATCCACGATTGAACCTCTCTCAACAACTCTAGTTATTGGGACCAATTGGTTCTTGATAGGCCGAAGGTGGAGGTTCCACAACGACGGACTGCGACGGTGGTTAAATCATTGATGATGAAGATGGAGAAGTCTAACAGAAGTGACCATTTCGTTCAAATTCAAATTTTTGTTATCATTTTGTTACAAATTTTGATGTTTGTAACCGTTTTGTACAAAGTGTAAAGCTTAACCCTTTATGATAACATTGGAACTAGGGATGGCAACAAAATCCGAACCCACGGTTACCCACCCGACCCAACCCGGTCAATGCGGGTAAAATCCGTGTTGACGGGTTTTGGGCCGGGTTTGGGTTTAAACCCGTTCACTATTCACAGGTTGGATTGGGTTTGTGTTTAGCTAAACCCGACCAATGGATACCCGCCCACACCTATATAGTTAATTTTCTCGGTATATTTAATATTCTAAACAACTAATCTTATTTATGTTTGTGGAAACATGTCTAATTTTTTCTTTCAAATTGTGTAGAATGAAGTTGATGTTATCGAGTGGAGAGTGAAGAGACTTAATTGAAAGGAAGAAGCTTTCAATTAATCATGTTATTTATGGATAATTTGTGATTTGCTTCAATTTTCTTGAGTTTTCTAGATTGGTGTTGAACAATTTGTATATTTAATTTGTGATTTGCTTGAATTTTCTAGAATGATGTTTTATATATGGATAATTTGTATTGAGAGATTGATATTTGACTTTAATTTTGATCAGTGTCCATGAAACCGTACCGTACTGACGGTTCAACCACGAAATACCAGTATCGGAGGCTAAGCCGATAGGCGGTTTTTACCGGTATAACGGTTGAACTACGGTTAAACCACGGTTTTACCATAAAATACCCTACCGCTGACTTTTCCGATACGATCTACGGTACGGTTTCATGGACCATGATTTTGATAGGAACATGTTATTGTAAATTTTTTACGACAAAAACCCGTGGGTTGGGTTGGGTTTGAGTTTTTCAAACCCAGTGGGTTTTACCCCGGGTTTTTCTCACGAATAAACCCATGGGTTTGGGTTTGGCAAAACCCGACCCAACCCGACCCATTGTCTTCCCTAATTGGCAAGGTTGTCAACCCGCGGGTTGACCCACGGGTCGACCCAATTTGACCCTGACCCGGTGAGAAAAACGGACGCACGCACCCGCCGGGCCGACCGCTATTAGGTACAGGGTTGGATGTCAAATTGTGTCATTTTTTTCTTTAGTTTGCGAAATGCGCCTATTTTCCAATTTTTCTTTTCGCCTAACTCAATTTTTGGAATACTAAGTTGAACATTTGAATATTTATGTTATATAAGCGTGTGTGAATTTTCACTATATGTTGGATCTAAGTACGATATGTTATTTTGGTTTAATATTATATGTTATAACTCATATGTTAGATAAGATTTTATATAATTTATGAGGATAAGTGCAATATAATGACTCTTTCTATATTTTCGGGCCAAACCAGACTAAAACGATTGACCCATTTACCCTTGACCGACTAGCTCGACCGGGTCCGGGTCAACCCGCGGATTGACAACGTTGCTAATTGGAACCTCAAATTTTTGCTCAAAGAAAAAAAAAATGCTAAAAAAAAAAAAACATTGGAACCTCAAATTTGAAATACAGAACGTCGCGCGATAAATTCCCTCTTGCTTGGTTTCACCGTTTCAGTCGCTTCTCCTCCATCTCCCTTTCTTCCATTTCCTTAGCTTGGCTTTCAATTGCGCGCTCAAATGGCGAAACTGAGCGAGAGGTTGGGGGAACGGAGCCAAATGGACTCTATCACTTCACCTCCACCATGTTTAAACACCGTCAGCGTCCGCCGGAATCCTCCCCGGCGGGGTAGGGCAACGCCGATGAAAGCTCCAGTTCCTATTCAACTGGAAGAATTCCAGTCGACCACCATACCGGATCCGCCAACTTACCCCGTTGCTTCTCAAGCTCCGCCATCCGAGAGTCTCAAGGTTTTCCTCAGAATCAAGCCGGTTGTGCTCGCCACAGCGGCGTCGGCGTCCAAGCTACTCGTAAAAGCCACCAGGTCGAGGGCTAAGAATGCCTGGCCTCAAAACCCTACAGCCAAGAAGAATTCCGCCAAGGAGCAGCAGCCAGCGAAGAAGAGCGAAAGTCAAATATGCATATCTGTGATCAACTCCCGCTCAGTGACGATATCTCCGCCGCCGTCGCTGATCGATTCGAAGACGATAAAATCAGAGGTTTACGAACGGTTCTCTCACGTCTTCGCTCCAGATTTCTTGCAGGTATCCATCCTCAGAGTTCGATTGTCGCACTCTGCAATTCTAATTCTGTGTAGAGCTTTGGTAGCTGAAAATCTGTTTGCTTGTTTGTTTGGAAGTGAGGTGTATGAGAAGATGGTGAAGCCCATAGTGGACGATTTTCTCAAGGAAGAAATGGAATGCTGCCCGCTTTAGGGTCTAGCGGTTCAGGCAAAACTCATACTGTCTTCGGGACTCCAAGAGAGCCTGGAATTGTTCCGCTTGCACTTGAGCACATTTTCAAGCAATCTAAGGCCATGGGTCATAAGTTTTCGAGGTAATTTAAGCTTGGTGAACTTATAATTCAGGCTTTCTAAGTAACCCCATTGAAGTGATTAGTGGAGTTATGCATTTTCTTTCCTCCAATAGTTCTTTCAACTTGGTTGTGTTATCTTTGTAGGTCATTTCATCTATCAATCTTTGAAATATATTCTGAAAGAGGTAAAGGCGAAAAAAAGTGTGACATGATTCCAGAAAGAGTAGAATCCGGGTTACATTCTACTACCAAAGGGGTTCAGGAGGCAAGATTTACTGTCCATGCTGTATGATAAATATTGAATGATTTGGTTCCTTCTATTCGTGCAGCATGCTAAGGGCTTATTTTGGTCTGTTCATGAACAGGTCGTAGTTTCTAATGCGTCTGAGGCTGAATCATTGATTGCTTGTGCAATGTTGAAGCGTGCAACAGTCATGGCCAACACAAACAGTCAATCTAGGTGCAAGTTTTGTTTGTGAAGTAAGTTGAACTTTAGTTGGTGTGGATGGTGTTTTCAGCAGTAAGTTCTTTGGTATTTTGATTGATGATCAACATTTTTGCTGCCGATCTCAATGCATCATTAACGTACACATGTAACGAGGTGAAGTGAGAAATCAAACGGATGATGCTGTGCTAAGTGCTAACTATTGTTGACCTTGCTGGAACTGAGAAAGAGAGAGAAGAGAACAGGGAATCAGGTTTGATAAGTGTTACCTTTTGATTTGTCTAGTTGATTCGAGTCCATTAGATATTGGGTCGTAAAGAAGTCTGATAGTCGGTGGCATTTAAAGTCCATGTATAGTAAGTTACAGTATGAATGTTCTTCAGCGAAGATTCACTATTGATGAGCCAACATAACCAACTTTTCTGCTTAATGCTAAGAAAGGGAGCTATATTTTGTGATGATGTGCACTTACTTGGTAACCTCAGCTTCACAAATGGTATTGGGAGAATTTGTCCATGCTTATTGTTACTTTATGTTTCCTTTTAGGGTCATATTGTAGTCTTGAGTTGTGTGCTGCACTGCAAAGATTAAGTCACTTTAATCTGTCATTGTGGTGATTGGATTTGTGTGACTCGGATTCAGTGTTACTGCTTGCTATGACGATCATATTTAAATCCTTTGGCCTCAGACCTCAGATTTTGGTGGTGATCTTGCAGGGGGCGAAATTGCTGGAAAGCAGTTTCATCAACAACACGTCTATGGTCTTCGGCTTATGCCTCAAGAGTATGTAATCTTTATTGAGTTTTTTGGATTACCTGGAACTAGAGGAATATTCGGTACCGTCATCTGTTCTGAATTGCTGAGTTATATACTCATTTGCTGTAGGCATTACTGGAGCACCAGAAGAATCCCAAGAAACCGTTACAGAAGCATTTTCAGAACTCTTTGGTAATACTGCAACATGAGGCTTCCTTAATTTTGCCTTGCTCTTTATAGTGCTTCTGCTATTATGTAAGAGAGTATCTAGAAGGCAAGAAGCGGATGAGTTTGGTACTAAGCTTAGTTACTAGATCCCATTAAATCTGCTCAATCATTCTTTTGATTATCAATAAGTTATCTCATTTTTTCATTAATTCATATATCCATTTACTTACTGCAGATATTAACAGTGAAGCCAGGGGAAGAGGACTATCTAGACATAGCCTGCCTACTCAGACAGGATTCTCCTTACATGAAAATAAAGCAAGTCCCTAACCTTTACTGATTCCATTGAGTTTTTATCAATTTTATTGAATTGGTATCTTGTATTAACCTCTAGCCCTTTAAACTTTCAGATTCAACAATACTGAGGATCCAAGTGGTTTTGTTTCCAACAAAAGACCCACCCAAAGTTTGTCCAGGATTGGATAACAGAAAAGAATGAAGCCCAGTGTTGTTGATGGTAAGGTATCCCTGAACAGTTACTGCTTGTGGTTAGATATATGTGTTCTTAGTGTCCCTAATCTGACAGAAGGTGACCCTTCTCATTTCTAATAGACTGAATAGCCGAAAACCAATGGAGATGAGAATCTACGTTTGCAGGAAGCTCACACCAAAGGTAAGGAAGTTGAAACACCCTTGCAATGTCTTAGTTTATCTTCACGTCTGAGGACATCATATTCGTCTCCTCTTCATTTCATCCCAGTCCCAGAGGCATCAATTATGGACAAATCAGACTCTGAGTCATTCACAAGGGAGAGAAACGACATCATAGTGCAGAACTTTGCTAAAGAGTTGAAGCAATACAAAGAAAAGCTTCTGGTAAACTCATTTAGATACTCTGAAATCAACTGCTCCCTTTAGCCAAGTTTTTCGTCTGGGATCGCGTCTTGTTTATCAAAGACCTCAGAAATGAAATGGAAGTTGAAAGTGTTGGTGAAAGCCTCAGAAATGAAAGGGCTAGACGCTTTGAGCTAGAAAAGGAACTTGAGCATTTGAAGCTACGATGTACTTGCTCCAAGGAACAGACAGCGGAAGCCACCTTAAGAAAAGTTGACGGGGTAAGCGGTAAGCCTATCCTGGTTCTATTATCTATTGATAGTAAAATTTTAGACCATTATAACTAACTGTTACCTGCTATTCCAGACAGAACGTGTCTCTGTATCCAGGACTTGTCATTCTCCAAAGAGTGCTAAATCTTATTCAAAACAGATATGTTCTGTCTCGGAACCCATGCCTTGTGATTCTCCCCAGATTACTGAGTCTATATCAAAACAGATCTGTTCTGTCCCGGAACCCATGCCTCGTGATTCTTCAAAGAGTACGGAATCTATTTCAGAACAGATTCAACAAGATTCTGAACAACTTGCTCCAGTAAGTTTTCGATTCATGTCTCTTTCCTGTCATAGAATCTAACTTGTCTGAGTAACTTGGTGTGAGAAGTTAGTTGAGCTTTCTTGTTCTTTCCAGACGAATGCAGCCAATTGTTCTCAAAGCAGTAGCAGCCCTCAAGAATCAGGCATCAATGAAGTACATGACCAGGAAGTATGTTCTCCTATAAACTTTCATTCTAAATAAAAACAAAGCTCAATTCCTATCCTAGAAGAATACCATGCATTTACATACCCAGATTCAGAATCAACCAGTCTAGGAAGCCTTTTTCGTTTAGTTTATAACCCTCGATCATTACATGCTTACCCGAGTCATGCTTCGTTTCATCAACCAGCCTAGTCCTTGGGACGTGCCATTCTTGTGTAATAATGAACTCGGAATAAGGAAGTAGTTGATATGCCGTACTGACATATGATATACTTCATTATGAGCTGTTAGGCAACAGAAGACCAAACGGCGAGTACTTCTGGGGACCTTCGAGACGAAAAGGCCGAATGTCTTGATCTTGAGCTGGACCTCGTTAAGGCTCAGCCAGCAGTTGTTCAGAGGAAACTTCGAATCTATCAACTTCTGTTGCAGTAGATGCTGAAGTCGAAGACACGGTACGTTTGGAAATGCAAAAAACCTGGCAGCTCTAAGCCAGTAATTAACTAATCCTCTTCTTCCCCTAATTTAATTTCCATTTTCTATGTTCAACCCTCTTTTCCTGCAAACCTCATTAATAATGTGACCAAGAAAGTGAGTTTAACATACCAACCTGCCTTGACAATGAGTCTACACACTTCATTATATGACTGGTTGCCATTGAATCCCAAGCATTGAAAAGCCTTGATGCGTCTTACTTTTGACACTTGAGGTTCTCATGATGACAAAGTCATGAAAATGATCGAGTTGCTTCAGTACTAAGCATGCAAAAGCTTGGACCTCAAGCTTTGAATTAATTTTGCCTACCCACCACCACAACTTCACGTCCAATCCAGGCAAGCTTCCAGCTCCGAAGATGAAGCGGGATTGGTCAGACGTGGCAAGCCAACCAAGCCAGCAAAACCGAAGAGGTCATTTTCCAACCTCCCCTCATTTTTTTCCAATCCTTATCTGATGCGGAGTTCTCAAGTTTTTTTTGGCCCCTTATATCAGGAGACTATTGCCTGCCTCGTCTCCGTTACTAAGGGATATGAATGCCTTGGCCATAGTCCATAGACGACGAAGTAAGTTTGGCTCTAGTTGAAATATCTAACTTAGGTATTATTACCTCAAATGCAGGGAATCAGAGGTGGGAAGAAATTGACTGTAGATGAAACAAAAAGAAGAACTCAGGGCAGTATTGCTCTCCTACGTTTGCTACAGAATAACCTTCGAGTCTAAATTATAGTCACCTGCTTGCTAATCATCCCAACGATTTCTTAAACAGTGCCTAACCCTTAATTGTCCAGAATTACTCTACCAATAGCTATTCGAGAGGTCTACCTTTTTTTGCACAAATGCCTCTTTACTCTGGTGCTAAGCCTTACCACATGTAGTACTTACGATATTTTTCGCTCGTATCATATATAATGTCTGAGAATACTTAACATGATCATGTGATGTTGGGGCAATTCGGCTTTGTTATGGGATGAGTGGACATGTTCAAATTTGTGGGTTGGGAAGTAGTGCTTTTTTGTTGGGTCAAAATTGACTTTAAAGTGAAGAAAGAATAGAATGGACATATTTTGAAGGGTTTTGCTAGAAGCTTAGAGTGGTGATCAAGCTATCCTCATAGTGGAATATTAAAAAAAAAAAAAAAAAAGGGCAAAACACCTAAAATACCATGGCCCGCTTTGCCTCTCATCATTACCATTATTATGTCATTTTTGTTTGGGTGTTGCCTACAAACGCCAAAAGATCCAATTGCTTAATGCTTATCTTCTATTCTTAGGATGAACAAGGGCGAGAAGATAAACCTAACCTTGTTTTACACGTCCTCCTTTGTCAATCATTTTTTCAGACCTTTGTTTACATCTTTCTCTATTGCTTGATTATTGTAATTTAGTTCAAGTCGGATATGATTTAGTACCAGATCAAGTTGGTACAAAGTGTTTAAGATATTAGAATCGATGATAAATTATATTCAATTTGATTCAATACGATTTGGTACAAAATCAGATAAGTAGATATGAGAATTGCATTTAAAGTTAATGTCATATGCAATTCAATTCACCAAAAGCTATAAGTTCAAGATCAACCTTTTTAAGGATCCTGGTAGAATTCCCTCACAGATTAAGTTACAAATATGGCGGGATTATGTTTATTAACTGTGGTTTTGTACAGTAACAGCGATTATTTACAGGATTATCATTATTCGATTGCTTACACTCTTTCACTCACTCAGCTCAGTTTCCCCTTTTATCTCTCGGGCAAAACAACAAACACCTCGCGGGCTTCAACGAAATCTATCCATTCCATCCCCAATTCTCTCTCACCACGCGCCGAGCGCCGCCGGCGGCGGCGGAGGAGGTGCTACCTGCGGATGATTCTGTTGGTGGTGGTGGTGGTGGTGAGGTAGCCTGAACCGAACCTGAGACGCCGGCGACCGGACCGCCACTCCGTGCCAGCAAATGCCGCCCTTGCAAATTTCGCCTTCCCCCGCCGCCGCGGTCGTCGCTGCCCTGTCGTGGCCCTCGCAGGAGATTGCGTACGTGGCCTTCCGCGATACGTCCCACGTCAGCGTGGCGACGAGGATTAATGCCACCACCGTGGTGGACGCGATGAGGACGAACCCGGCGCCGAAACACCGGCCGCGCACTATCCCGTACGCCTTAATCCCGGCGATCACCGCCACGTAGATCGTCGTCAGGTTCCCCGTCACCTTATCCGATAGCGCCATCTCCTCCACCACCAAAAAAAAAATTCTCCTTGGAATTCGCGATTCGGCGGGGTTTCTCTTTCCCCGCAATTCGCCGGAATTGAATCGATCGGCGGGAAGAGAACGAAAGGGTTTAGTGCGGCGGATTTGTGGAGGACGTGGTCGGAGGGAGGGTTTTCTTATGGCTCGCGAATTGGGGAGGAGAGGCGAAAGAAAACAAAGAAGGAAAACGGAGAAAAGGAATTTGGGGATCAAAGTTTTTGGGAAGGCCACAGTCCATATGTAGAGTTAGTACAAACAAAGCGCTTATATCATCAACATAACATATCAAACATCCCGCGAGCCAATTATCCAAGCGGATAGGCACACGTGGCAATTTTCTTGAAGTTTTCTTTTAAATTATTGAATTTGCTTTTGCTGTTGCTTGCAGCGCGATTCGGAAGTTCTACCGGCTATTTACTTAATTTTTTGGTGTTAATTCTTAATTGATGATTAAGCTAAGCAAAAAAGCAATGATAGTACCTAATGCACTAAAGGACTATGGAATACAAATGACATACATATTTTTTTTTATATAATGAGATAATGCTTGTATGATGATCCTTTCCTTTATTTATTGTATATAGTTTATTGTGATTTCTCCAGTGCATTTATAAAAATAAGTTTATACAATACACTTAATTCTAAAAGTAACATTAAGAGATTAATTTTTGGAATTGGTCGCATTAGTGTGATATGATGATGAAACACAAGATCACAATTAAACAGTCTATTACCCTAACCCCCTAAACTTTCAGTTATGTACACTAACCCTGAACTCCTAATTATAAATCCTAATCCTAAATTTCTAAACTTTAAGACCTTCAAATCAAAGTAAATCTTAAATGGTTTTTGTACAAAATCATGTGTTTTCTTCTCGAAAGTGAATGTTGAAATTGTTTCGACATGATTCACCTGCCCAAAATAACGACTATCAGGTGATCGAGTACATATATAGCATGCACACAGAAAAGTGAATGCACTGAAAACAAAACCATAATTTCATAGAATCTAAAATAGGCGTGTTACTTATATTTCTAATGTATTTTTATAATATACAAGTTCTTAATATACACTACTTTAATCGATGCATTCATGTAATACACCACTGTAGGAATCAAGTATCCAAACCACCCGTAAAGAATGAAGTGTAAACCTCCAAATTAGAGGTAGAACATCCAATTAATACGTATCTAAAGTACACCATGGAACTTTACTGAGAAGTTCTAAGGTCCTGTTTAGCATAATTTTCTCTCATTGGGGCCTTGGAAAAATTGAAAAGAGTACTAGAGAGGGAAAATGGCTAAATTACACGTTTGGTCACTCAAATTATACAAATCTTTCACGTTTGCCACTCGAATTACTTTTCTTTCTTATTCGCCACTAACTTTACGAATCGTTTCACGGTTGGTCACCGGCCGTTACACTCCGTTAAGTTTGTCCTACGTGGCAGTCAACTATAAAGTTTGACCGTTAATTAGATGACGTGGAAATTAAAAAAAAAAATTTTTCTTTCCACCTCATCATTGCACTTATTTTGTCCAGGGCCAATTGCAGCAGTTGTTCCACCTCCCTCGTCGTCGGCCTCTCCGCCGCGAATCACGGCAAGGGGAACGGAAGCAACAACCCCCTCCCCTGTTCTCCGATCGTTCTGGTTCTCGAATCTGGCAGCGAGAGAAGCTCTCGTGAAATCGAAACCAATAACAACACCCTCGGAATGACTAATTCCATCGTCAGCGCTTGTTCGCTAGTGGGGTACCAAGGGGACAACGAATCGGGCTCCTGTCACGTCGAAGTTACGCCGACGGAGGCGGAAACCGGATCTGGGTCGGGGAGACGGCAACCGGACCCGGAGACGGCAACGAGCGGCGCACATCGAATCCTTCCGGTAGCCAAACTTCCTAGTCGCTCTCGGCCCTCCCCAGTGCCCACCTCCCACACGAACGTCGACATGCTCCCTTTCTGATTCCTTTTCCTTGTTGTTGTTGCAGAGAGATAGGGGACCAATGTGCCAAGCTCATCTCCCGATAAAGGCTCTGTAGTAATCGTCTCTGTTGGCGATAACTTTTTAGTTTCGACTCCCTGACCGATTTCACCAATTCCCGAATCCCACTTCCCCCATCCTTCCTCGCTTACTCCGGCAGCTGCTTCCAGGCCAACGAAATTTCTTCGGGTTTCGAGGAGACCCTTCTGTGAGGCTCGTGAAATCCGGGTCGTCTCGCTGGCGGAGATTGAGAAGAAGTCGGTGACATGGAAGACTAGTCTGGGGATTCCGAATCTGCTTGTGGAGTCGATGGACCAGAGGATGGCAATCCGGTCAGGAAGCTTCGAGAAGGTCTCGAGGGCCACTCATTTGGGGATTCCGACTTCTTCCTTGTGGATTATTCTTCTGCACTAATATTAATTTGTGATTCAAAATTTAATCCCAACTTGGGCAGATTCGTGAAGAGTTTGAGAAGACAACCCTTGAAGAAGCCGATGCCGTGGAAGACAGTCGTTCGTGCTAGTCACGGCGTCCGGGCCGGGCGAGAGTCAGGAAGTGATGGAATCTAAGGTCTTTTTGTTTTATTATTTTTTAATATTTATAGTTTTATTTTATTGGCTGCTTTTATATGGTGGGCCTATTCCTTTGCCTGATTTTTGTCTAATTGTTTTTTTAATTTTTTAAAATTGACATGTCATTAAGTTAACGGTCCAGTCA